GAAGAACCGGGGAAGGTCTTTCCACCTTCCAGCCTGCGCATTGGATTTTTTAGGTGAGACACAGTGTGCGCGGAACTGAGCCCACCCTTTAATCCTGAGGTTCATCTGCCGGGGCCAAGCACGCTTGGACGGTGGCAGTGAGGTCCTCAGGACGTAGATGGATTGCCTTACAGGGCTAACGAGCTCCATACGAGCTCCATCTGCCCGGGGAGGGGCCCCGACCGGGAATCGAACCCAGGTCTCTGCAGTGATAGTGCAGTGTCATTTCCCCTAGACCACCGGGGGCTCCCTGTACAGTTTATATGCAGAAGGTGTAACTGCAGACAAAGCGAGTACAGCGTTACCAATTATCCCTTTCATCAGGCTAGATAATAAAGCACTAGATTGTACGCAAAAATAAACAGTGGTAGAATCCTGTAGGACCAGAAAAATCTAGAGAAAAAACCAAAGTGAACGATAAAAGAAATAAATCTCAACTAGGACCTCCAAAAGTCAGATTTTTTAAAAAATAAATTAGGATTGGCATCCTTTGGACTAAAATGTTAAGAAGAGACTTTAACTTTGATATTTAATTTATTCTTTTTAATCACAGCAAAGATCTGCACCAAATATATCTTCATTAAAAGAACATCATAACTTCAGACAGCGTAATTAAAGAACTCCTGTTTCTAAGAATGTATGTCTATTTTAAAAGCAATAGTCTTGCTCATCTAGGCAGTCTTGAAATCCAAGGAGAGGACAAAAAGGCTAAAATACTCATCATATAGTACCTCTTGTATCTGGATTTATCCATGAAGTTGCACAGTGAATTTTTAATGGACAGCCATTGAAAACCTTTGAAAAGCAAGCACCCATCTGTAGAAGTGAAAACAATTAAATATTGAAAAATTAAAATATTACATTTCCAGTAGGATTATTTTTACGTCAAGTAGTAACAAAGGTTAAGAGTTGCCAAGTGGGAAATAATCTCATCCATAAAACAGAGGACAACTACGTAAATACACTGCCCAGCACACATGTAGGAGGGTGGTGAAGGCAGAAACAAATGGTCAAGAAACGGAAAGACTGGCTCTTCTGATCATAGTGCTGGTTAAAAGCACTACACAGATATTACAATAAAATTCTAGTTTGCTTTATTCTTCAAAGGTGCACAAGGGTATCTGCAACACTTACTTCCAGCCCTAGGGCATCTATGAATCCTATCTTCAGAAGTTTTGAATCCTAGAGCTGCACAGCATAAACTTGGAGCTATATGCAGTTCCTGGGAGAGATCAGCTCCTCACATGACTATGTACCTAAGTACTAGTGTGACATTAGTCATTTAACTATCACTCACTTTTTTAAAGCAGCAAGCAAACAAAAAACCTTCAATATTCACCCCAATAGCACAACACTAAGGGTGATTTCTAAAATACCATACAGTGGCTTAGCATTTCTAAGTGATACTGGATTTTATAATTAAAAAAAAAATACCACAAACATTCAAAAAATGTACTCTGTCAGTTTAGTAAGAAAACACATCCTGCTTCCCACATGCATTGAGATATGACTCAGCAATACTCACGTGTACTTTAGGCGTAGGAGGAAGGCCATTACTAATTGGTTTCTAGAAAATAAAATTTAAAAGTATGTTTACACTCACATGCACACTAAGCATGAACATGTACATTCTCTCCCCGTGTGACCTCATAACAAACATAGAAGTAAAAAATTTTTTTAGAATGTTGTCAAAAAGTACTGGAAAAAATAATTAAGCATAATTACATTTATAAAAATGTAAATATAACTGTATTTATAAAAATAAAAAGCCAATACTTACATCTACATAAGAAATAGATACAAACGCTCCCTGCAGATTTTTAAGACAACAGAGTTGTGTTATATGTTTCTACACTACACTAACGGAAGGCACTGAGCACCTACTGAGAAATTCCATTGTGCCCAATGCCATAGGTACTAGACCTGAAAACCTTGGCTGAGCTTTGGCTATAGTCCCATTTGTAAGCACAAGGTTAGTCTAAAGACCCCCCTTTCCAAACTGACACTTCCATAATTCTGTACGAGTTTGCCGACCGTGTGTCTCTAATAACCACACACCACAAACCAGCAGCATCATTTTCTTTCATTAAAATCATCACTATGATTCCCTAATAACTCCTCATGGAATGTCTGCATAACCTTATGCAGCACTTTCACATAATGATGGTACCTGTAGGAATACCATATCCAGTACTGTGGAGTTAAACAATATTGCAGCAGTTGCTCAAATGTTCAATATTAGAGCATTACATTTTACCAATTAGCACTATATGCATTTTCCTGTACCAGTATCAATTTCTCCTAGCAAAAACATGCTTCGCAAGAAATGTATTTGACAGGTAACGTGGTAAACTTCAAACACACAATTTCAGATGTTGAGTTCAAAGCCGTTCAGGTAATCCTACGTTCCAAAGTACTGCCAGTATTACTGCCATTTCCTTTAAACAAAACAAAGACCTAGACAACATTTCTGGTCTACTTCCTCTTCATTTCTCACAAGAAAAGTTACATTTCTAGCCTCACCTTTAGAAGAAGCCCCCAAAGAAGGCAGTTTCATGTTACATTTAATCTATTCTAACTACAGATGTCCCACTCTCTCATCTCACATTCCCACTTTTGCTTTTGCACCATGGAGTGACCACTCTGGAAGCCATTTTCTGACTTGAGGGAGAACCTCACTTGAAAAAGGAGAAAGGTACACAGGAAAGGGACCCTTTCCTCAGTTCACAGCTGGTTCAGGTTACCCAGGGTGTTAAGACTGCATTCTCTCCATGAGCACAACTTCAGATGAGTACACGTAGCTCAAGTCTGATCCTAAACTCAAGCCACTAAACCCTGAAACCTGGAGCTGCAGAGGCCAGCAGGCAAAGGGCTTGCCTATCCAGCCTTCAAGCTACATTTTCATCATCTTTTTCCCCCTAAATACCAAAAAGCCTGTATGCCTACACCTAGGATAAGATGAGGGCTCATTGGGGAACAACCCTAATTCAGCTCCTTTCCCAGGGCCAGCCAAATCTCCCAGCAAGCTGTCAGGAAGCAGCATATTCCATTCCCTCACTTCCTTGTTTGCTTTAATAGTCACTGCTCAGTACAATGCATCACATGTCTCTCACAGGGTCTCGCTCTCATTACACTTCTGAGGTCTGCAAAGGAGCAAGTAAATCGTATATATCCGTGATAATGTTAGTTTCTAAGGAAATTGAAACACCAACTCAAAATTCAGCCGAGGACTTTATCACAACCAGACAATCTAAGAAACTGTGCTTTGATTCCAAACAAACAAGATGCCATTCAGCATAATTTTAATACTAAAGAGCATGGTTGCTCCTTTTTCTTGTACATGTAAAACAGTCAGTCAAGACAACTTTAAAAGAACACCTTAAATACCTACCAGTATTTCCTTCTTTTCTTTCCTTAAAAAATTAGTGTCGCTAGCTTCATTCTGTGGCGATTCCTCTCTTTCACCATTTAATTGTACAGAAGTGACTCCATTACCTAGAAAGATTCATTTTTAAAAACGTGTTCTTCTACCTTCACCTCAAAGAGCAATCTAGCCTAAGAACAATTTTAAAAGGTCAGCATTTCCATTTAAGTGAGAACATGTACTATATACAATACAGTACAAAACACCCCTAATTTATTTCTGAAGCATGCATGTTTTTCCATGTGCACATATAACCGTCTATCGAGCCACATTCAACCTCAGTCCATGACTTTTGGTAATTATTACAACTCCAGTGGGAGCATAGAAAGGGATGCAGCCACAGTTATGAGGAAAAATGTATTGAACATACCCAAGGAAAAACTTGCCAATAGCTAACACTTCAATTATTGATTCCTTACAAACAGCCCTGAAGCATTTCTGAGCACTAGATGTTTAAGCATTAGAGTCAAATCTTTAACACGTCAGCTGCAGTACTGAGTATGAAGCAAGGAAAAGCTGGCAAGGTATCAATTAAAAGTCAGACATTAAGCTTGCTTAAGAGAACCCAGTCCAAGACAATTCTCAAAGCACTGGACTAACAAAAGCATAAAATGAACAGCCTGAGCAGACAGTAAACAAACACAATTACCTCCTATACTACCCAACCCAGTTCATTACATACAAAAGCAAACTTTGAAGGCAGAATTCTGTTCTTGACATGTCAAATGACAACAGTTGACACACTGAACCTGAACCCTACACATACACTTTATTTAACAATCCTGATACTCTGCATTATAGCCTGTTGCTTAGGAAAGCAATCGTGTCACCAAAGGCATCAGCAGGAATCATGTCAGTGACTTTGGTAGAAGGTACATTTAACCTTCTTGAGAGGTAAAACATGCTTTCTTCATGCATTTTGGCTTTCATGCACTTTCTGTCACTTGCCTACTACAGAAAAATTACCTCAGTATGTTCTAATGTGTGCACAGTGTGAGAAGGCAGAAATAAAAATCACATTAGATTATGTAAGAAATACTTGTATACTTCTTAGGGTCACTCTTATTACCTAAAGGATTAGATTTCTGGGGAGGTAGTCGAGGAGGTGGTGGTCTGGGTGGAACGTGAGATGTAGATTTTGCCGGACTCTCCGATGTTGGGCATCTCTTGATTGTCCCTTGGTTTTCGTTTTCAGAAGAATAAGTTTCTTGGAGGATAAAGATGGATTTAGGCTGAAAGAGACATTTATTATTACTACTAATAAAAACACAATGAAGAAAGATTCAAAAGCATCCATGCTACTTCTCAATGAGTAAAAAACCCCATATGCAATATTTGGATCCTGAAACTTTCACAAGTGAAGAGCTATCAATAAAGTAATCTACATATTCTGCATTTATTTACTTAAAGTGTCCTTATCTTTTGGGCAATAAAATCCCCCTCACTTACCTTTGGTGGTAAAGGAGGTGGCACTTTAGGTTTCATAGTAGCACTATAAAGAGAAGAAACAGAACAGATTGCTACCCTCCTTGAACCTTGTCTTGCAGTCTGCAAGACGATACAGGGTTTTATAAATGCCATACAAATAAGCCCCATTAAGTTGTCAACAGCACCATTATATCCAAATAACTGCATCACAAATACTTCCAAACACTTTGTTACACCACAGATACTATATGAAAACAAGTGTCACAGATCCCCCCTAGAGAGAAGAGTGTCATGAACTGATTTGCTGAAGACGCACATACTGTACAAAACGAAGTAGGGAGATACACAGCAGGCCTGATATTTACTCTGTTGAGAGGAAAAAGATTTAGGGTATCAGTGAGCTTTTCTAAAGGGACACCTGTAGGTATGCATGGCAAAGGGGACTTACAAGAAAACTGATGAATACCACCCTTTGAAAAATTTATACTGATGACTTAAACAGTCTGAAAGTAAAATTCCTCTGCATTGGACAGCTACCTCAGTGGCTGGGTTCTTTGTTTTTGTTTTTTCCATGAGTTTCTTTTTTCACAGAAGTCTTGGGAAAGGCAACTTTTTAACACAAGAACAATTCAATGGGCTGGCCCAAGAGTACAAGATATCAGCAGAAATCAAGAAAGCTGAAGCATGAGGAGCATTCTTGCTCTGCCGGTTCTGTAGCTTAAAAAATATGTTGCATTAAAAAACCAAAAAAAATCAATTACGTCCCAAAACTTTGTATGTTTTTAAAAGCTCTTATACTGTCCTATTTCCTAATATTTTTGGAACTGAAAATTATTTCCATTAAATAAATTAGGAATACAGCTGTGAAAACTTGACACTCTTGCACAGTATTTTCCTTATTTTTAAATAATGTTTCAAAGTTTTGGAAAAATACCCAAGTAGTAAAATATCTGTTTGTATGTTTACAGGTCAACAACTTGTCTGCTTTGCTACATTCTTTTCAGGAGTTTCTGTCCTGGCATCTTATCTGTTGCTTATATTTCAGAGAAGCTTGAAGGGGACTTCTGACTTCAGCAGCTGTGGTGCTAGAAATTATCTCCACTATGAGACCGAGTTTAAGTCCTTAGTCATGTGTGTCCAAGCTCCATTTATATTTTCTTTCATATTCTTCCTCTGCATTTCAGACAGCCATTACAATGTTACTGGGCAGCCAAGCAAACAGAAAAGCCAACAATTTGGCGTAAATGTGACAGATGTTTGCACAAAGGACCACGTGTCCTTGTTTCAACAATAGGGTTTAGGTGCAGTTTGTCGCTGCTGATCATGCAGGGCAGCGTCCCAATAATTTCTGCTTTCCCAGTTTCCATAACCAGGAAATTCAAGCATCAGCAGCCTTGCTGTGCATGAGAGAAAAAGAAATACCAAAAGAAACAAAATTATTAAACGAAGAGAGGTAACTTTATATTGTTCTGTGAAGCATGTGGATTCACTGCTGCTGCAAATCACCCAGTTTCATTCAGTGGGATCTGTTTGGACTGGAGGTGTACAGTGGTTTCATCGTTTTTGCTCTGGATCTGAATGAAGAAGTGACTGATGTCACATGTGCTCTTCCAAGCACAACTCCATCTCACAGAACACAGATCAAAAAAAAAGCCTTGAATCTTCAGTGGGTTCCAGAGGAAGATACCTGTGATCAAGCTGATGAACCAACAATTCCAGCAGAGCTTTGGGCTCAAGCAGATACCAAGCTAAGGGCACAGACGCAGAATCTGTCTGCTCCAAGGCTCATGCGTTCAAGCTTTTACTCCTGTGCTTACCCATGGTCAGGCCCTCTCCGCAGTGCAAGAGTAGCTGGGAAGAAATATGTGAAGAAACAAAAAACACCAGGACTTTTTTGGAAGACTACTGGTGACTACCCTTAGGGTCAGATGAATTGGAACCTCTCCAGAAGCTATCAGGTTCTTCCTTGTTTAATGTAAAAAAAAAAAAAAAATCCACAGAAAGATGACAGAGACATAAGCACCTCAAGTCAATGCTGTTTGAAAGTTCTGATGGAACTCATGTAATAAACAAGAGTTCTGAAGCACTGGGCAGTGCTAGCACTTCAAGACAGCAGGGATCAAAAAGGTTCAAGCCCCGGAACATTACTGAGGTTGATGATACTGACTGCAAACCAAGCAAGAAGTCAGGGGGAAAAAAGAAATGCTAACCAAAACCAAACAGACACAAAGCTGTGCACAAAAAAAACCAGCCAGGTATTAGTATGGATGGAGTAACCAAGCTGAGCTGGCTCACAGCAGCAAGGCTATCCAGAGCACCTTCACTGGAAGCCATCAGAGTGACGCTGGCAGGATGGAGCTACAGGGGACTGTTACAGCCTGCACTGGAGGAAGCCTGAGTTGCCATGGGCAAGGTCTATCCAGCTATGAGCAAAGCAGGTTTCTCAGCTTCACCCAAATGCTGCAGAGCAAATCATGAGTAGCATCATCAACTTCTTCCTCTCAAAGACAAGACACAAGAGATTCCTATTATTGATGAATTATGTAATCAACCAGGCCTTTAAACAACTGCTTAATGATGAAATATGAAGAATTTCTTCAGGAACCAGTATGGGAATAAAGTCTACTAAAAACCAACTGATTTTTTTTTTTTGGTATAAATATTACTTGTGTCAAACAGCAAATATACTTGTGTTTTGAAAAACTGATTATTAAACCATGCAAATTTACTGTACTCATCACCAGACATCAGACACTATCAGTACCTTTACCCATTTTGAAGGGGGCTGTCCCACATGCTCAGTATGTGATAAAAAACACTGCTTTTGTTATAAAAGAACAGCAGTGAAATAACTCAAGGCAAAAAAAAGACAGTGTAATTTGGTTCTCTGTAAGAGAGAGATGCCAGCAATAGATAACACATGTTTTAAAGGTTTCTGGTATGAAGCAACAGCTTTCAAAATTATCCATTAACAGAAAGCAAACAAAAATTCCATCTCAATGCCACCTTTCTTTTTGGTCTTTAGATCAGATTCATTTAGGAATGTAAATCTACACACACTGGTTGTGCTTTTTTAAATTGTTTCAGCTCTCATCTATAAATCAAATAGAGCCCAAGAATAGTTATACCACTGGAATTTAATATGAGCTTAATTAATTTAACACATGCCTTTGCAGTCCCATAACCTCGCTCTCTCTGTGGTGAGGGAGTCAGCTCTATTCCAAAAAATCAAGCACCCATAAAAGCATCCTCCTAGCTGAGAACACGGACAGAACAAACACAAACTAGAGAAGACTTATGGAAACAGTTTACGTACTTTTTATGAGCCTTACACAGTTATTGGTTCTAGAAAAGACACCAGGACTCAGGTTGAATTACTGGTTGAACATAATGATGCCAAGATTTTGTTCAATAATATAAGGTAAAAGGAAACCTGTATCAAACAAGACTCCCCCCTTCCCCAATTTATAGTAAGTTTATCAACAGAAAAAGAAAGCTTCTGGTGATGTAACCTAGGAACAACATTAAAAGCTTATTTTTAAAAATGTCACAGAATAAGGAATCCTGAGTTATTATAGAACACGATTCAACTTATTTTTTTTTCAAATGCTCACCTATTCGAGGATCTAATTCTATTTATTTTTAAAACAGACTTACTGTTTAGAATCATCATCTGCATCATCATCATCTTCTAAATGTGCCACATGTCCCCTAAGAAAATGAATAAATATTACGGGTTGCGTGAGTTGTATTAAAATTACCTTGACTGCTGTGAAAAGGCTACTACCTCTTGTACAGAATTTTATTGTCTTTTTTTTTTTAACTATTATTATTCTTTAGAGCAATACTGCAATCCAGACAACTAAGCCTCTCTCATAACCTCTCAGCAAGTACAGGGACAAACAAGAACTAGTTGTGACAGACAAAGAAAAAAATCAATGCACAAATTACTTTTGAAACACACAAGAGAGGAAAACAACAACAAAAAAAAGAATAGAATTACCGCTGATGCAGTTCTTCTTCAACTGATTTTAAGAGACTCCTTCAGCATTAAATAAGAACAAGAACAGAGTTTAATTGTGGTACACAAATGCAATTATCAGAAGCCAGAACAAAAGGTCTTATGATTCTATCAATAAATAATCTAAAGCATGTTATTTCAGTGGCTTTCAGAACATACATCAAGCACCCACGTACAAATGAACACAGCTGCAATTTTTGTTTCATTTATTTTTATACAACATGCTTTCACACGTGTCTATTAATGTATTGCTTTTAAGTGCAGTGGTCTTTTTTCCTTGTACTGTAAACCACTCTCCTTGCATTGTAAAACTTAGCTTGATCCAATTGAAAACAAATCCACACTCTCCAAGAAAATTGTAATCTTAAAAAAAAAAAAAATTAATCAGACTCCCAAGGATTAAACTACTGTTGGAATAAACTCATTCTTCCCCAGTTCAATTTTGTAACATTCTGAACTTCATTTCTGTGTCTTTGAAAGGACAGACAGGGAAGAATCACAGGCAGAACACAGGAATAAGAAACAACAGGATTTTGGAAGATACCAGTATTCATATTTTCCTCAATTAAAGACTGTGCAAAAATATCATGTTCTATGCTTAGATTTTCTGCATTTTTAACATGATTTAATTTGAAAATCACAGCTAGGCATCCTGATTCTGACATGCATAAATGCAATTAAGAAATTGGGTGGAAAGGAAAAATTACACTGAAAATTATTTCATATGATTAATGTATCACGATTATTAAATGTACAAATGTAAAGTGGAAAGACTTGCTAAGAAAGGTTTTATTTTCTAAAGCATTTATAACTGCATGTTCCCAGTGCCCTACAAGATGAAGAAGGGCATAAAGCAATGTCAAAGAAGAGCACTGGTAGTTCCCAGGTGGGGTAAAATTGTGGTCTGTGGGACTTATCACCTAGAACATTTTGAAAACAAGCAGACCAAGATAACAGCTCTTAAAAGGAATCTTAACCACCATAGAGACAACACAGCCTTCAATACTGAAAAATGCTGCAATTCTATATCATTAGAGTTACTACTATTGTAGAAATAAATAGTGATTTTGGAATTGTAATTGATAGAAACAAGCTTGACTTATTTTACTATGTTTCAGCTAATGTGTTAAACACACATTTGTGATTTTTTTTTATTAAGATAGTCTTGAATTAATTAAAGACAGAAAATGCTGTTGCTTACTCACTTATTTGCACCCAAAAAGTAGCCGCACTGAGGACCATGACCATATTCTAGCTGCAGATCCTAAAAATGTAAGAGAATGAATCTTTAGGATGAGCAGGTGAGCATCAAACACACACCCTGAGTCATGCTGTTGTTATCCCCTCTGCCACACCTGAGGTACCAAACCAGCTTATTTCTCTGCCTTTCCTGACCCTTAATACCACTCTCAGGCCCACTGCACTCAAAAATCTCCTCTCTGCCAGGTTGCTGCATCTCCAACTCCTTTTAAAACTCTGAACTTAGCCTCTTCCTTGCAGACACAGAGATCCTTTGCTAAAATAAAGTCAGCTGCAGAAAAGTAAATAAAATAACAACAAAAATAATACAAAAATGGAAAAGAAACACCAAAAAAAAGTACTAAGGACTTTGCGATCTACCAGACTCTGTAGAGAACCCTACTACCCCTCACTGGTACGTTGTAGTAGTCATTTCAGATGGGGAGTAGTTCTGGCAGGGAGCCTAAAATCCCTTTAGCACACAGGGACATTAAAAAAATAAGCAAAGAGGACAAGAAACGTTCTTATAGCTCTGGTTATAACAATACGTGTACGCTTTAAGAACACCTTTTGTATTGAAAAGAAAAATACAGTATTAACGAAGTCAAACACTCCAGCAATCATGGAGTATAGGCTACAAAGAAGATGTGGCAATAGGATTCCAACTCTGTCATTAAGTAAACACTATGACAACATACAAATTTAATGCATTAAGGGAATACAGGGACCCCACTGAAACACGATCAAACCTGCACCTGCCAGGAGGATACTGCTGTAATTAGAGGGTGTTTTTCTCTTCAGGTGGATCTCAACAGGAAAAACCTGAGCATAAATTTGCTCCCAAGATACTGAGTGTATTCACCAGGAGAAACAAATTACCCCTCACCTAAATTAGTGATAAATGCAGCTACACTGTTCCTTCCCAGAAAACATTTTAAAGATCTCCCAACATCTTCTGTTGAACTGCAACTCAAATCAAAATATGCCATCCCTCATCACGATGCCCAGATATTCAAGCTTTAAGAGCAATAAATTCAGATTAGACGGGGCTGATCTCTCAGGGCATTTTTAAAAATCAGAGGAAAAGTCTCACACTAGATTTTCCAGCGTTCCAAGCTGATGAAGCAGAAACCACCGCAGCCCTCAGTTCCAGGCTGAAGGGTAACCACTTCAATACAAAGCTATGGACATTGTTTTCTGCTTGGCAAGGAATTTCAGGTTGTTTACTGCACTCTCGATACTGCTCTGTAAAGCTAAGTAGTAGTTTCCACATGGATGTGTCTACCACAGCTGTAAGTAGCATTTGACTGCTACAGTAACTTTACATATTTTCCCCAAACAAGTGAGATATTGTGGGGAAAACACTCTGTAAATGATGTAAAAGAATATATAGATCAGAAGGTTGAATAAAAATTGCAAAGGCACGCCTGATGCTGGCATTTCCTGAACCATGGAGAGACTGACTTTTTAATCTCTTTATCAATTTTATTACACCTCTTCGTTCTAGAATTAAATGATCTCCCAAACCCACCAAACTCTCTCCACTTCTATGGATCTGACTCAGAAGGGTTGCCCAACCTTCCCTCTAGACATCATCTGTCAGGGGATTTAGGAAGAGAGGCCTTACAAGTGGCCATGCCAATGGGGAGGAAGGTGTCAGGCCTCAGCCATGGGTATCTTTGATCCCTTTTGCTATCTTAATCTTCCTTCTCCACAGTTTGACCATCCTCCTATGCCTTGGTTTTTAACTCCTCCTGCTCCTTGCTCCAAACAAGTTCAACAAGTCTCCTTCCCTCAACAAAGGCCATCCCAGGCCCTCCACAGTTTCAGTCTCTTCATCAAGCCCAATCTCTGTCTCCTTATACCCAGGTAATTCCCTTTCTTTTGCTGCTCTTCACCACCAGCTGATGGACTACAATCCACCACAAAGAAACAGATTTAACTTCCTTTACTTGGAGTACTTATACTATTTCTCTGCAATCTCAAACCCTTCCCTCAGTAAACACAGGTATTTTGAGGATTTGGGCTTTAGAGCAGGAAATAACAAGACCGGAAACAGAAGACATCACCAGACTCACAAGCAAGGAGGTTAAACAGGTTGTGTGAGCCTATGTGAGAGGATGCCAGAACAAAGACTAGGAAGCTGTTGAGAAAAATAACCCCAGATCAGTATAATGAAATCTGATATTTTTCACTTCGAAGAGAAAAGCCTGGAATGTTGCAAAATCACATTATTCAGAAGTGAGAAACAAAGATGTTATGCTGGACAGAGCCCAAATATCTGTCCACTTTAATTTACACACTGTGCAAGGTATGGCTATGAATACACTGTACAGCAGTGACAGGGAAATTAATAAATGAAAATAAATAAACCCACATAAAACATAAGGAGCCTTCCTCTGTCACCAGACTTCTTAAGCATAACCAGAATTTTCTTTATCAAAAATGACATCTGCCAGAATTACTTATGTTTTAGTGCTTTTAAAGGGTAAAAGCTTTGTTTTGATTCAGTTCACTGTTGTGTAAGATTTATCTGACTATGGTTTTAACTGGATATGTGGAATTTTTCCAGAGCCCTTTAAATATTGCTGACTTTCCCTCCAACTGTGGGGTGAAGTACACCACTGCCAGGGAAACTCCTCCTTTTGCACTCTTGATAGATAAATACTGAGAGCTAGAAAGCTTTTAAAAAGTTAAATACGTTTTTCTTCTATCTTCTATTTCAAATACATCCAGAAGTTACAACTTTATAAACTTTCTAGCTACATATTTGATATGAAAACATTGATAAATGCTGCATGTATCCTGCAAAGCCTCCAGTGAGCTGTTACACTTAATCATCCAATATAACTGGAGTTTTTTAAAGCCACACATAAAGACACGAAATCTTATCAGTTGTGGATTCCCACTGGAAAGAACAGATTAGTGTTAGTTCCTAAATGATGCAAAGTTACCCAACAACTTTATCAATCTACACTAATATTATCATTTAACTTACATATAATGCTGATTAGTTAATTAAAATTCTTTTTAGATCAGACAACATTGACACAGAATAAATCTGGGTGACTAGACAGATATATTCCAATAGAATCTTGAGATATACAGCCGGCAGAAATGAGAAGAGGTCAATAATCCGTGTACTGACTCAAAGATGCAACTCCAGATTATTCTGCACTCGGCCTCAGGTTACCAACAACTCATGTCACAGAGTATTCTGAGTTGGAAGGGACCCACACGGATCACTGAGTCCAACTCTTGAAGTGAATGGCCCCTATGGGGATCAAACCCAAAGCCTTTGTGTTATTAGCACCAGGCTCTAACCAGCTGAGCTAATCTCAGGGTCTCTCATCTGTGTACGAGACAAAGTGTGCTATTTGCTGGCAGTAACTGCTTTGAAAAAGAAGGTAACACAGGGAATTATTACCAGTTCTTCTCAATAGTTTAAGTAACACTAAAGGAAGTTGTCATGGAGAAAGACAAATCAGATAAATTACATGTGCAAAGTAATCAATGACTAAAAACAGTATACAGATTTCCTCAAAGCAAAGATAAAGCAAAGGGCATTCTATGAAACAAATTCCCCAGGAGTGCTCAAATCTGCAAAATCTTAAATTTTAAAAATCTGCTATATTTTCTGCAGAATTTCATGGTAAGTTAATTGTTAATGCACCTTTAACAGTTACGTTCCTACTTTGTTGTGTAGGGCTGAGCTGTACTGGAAATCTATTTTTAGGTGTTCAGGCCTCCATAAACAAAACTGAATGTATACAGCCACCCAGCAATTCACAGTTACTTCCCACATTTGCTATTCTTGAAATCCAGTGAGAAACAAGACCATTTGAAATGACAAAATCAAGACTTTACATCTACAAAATGCTGCGGAAGTAACTCTGAATTTCAAAGAACACAAATCACCTTCCGACTACTAACATATCAAATGGGAAGGCACACACATATCCCTTTCCCAGTAAAATGATTAAGAAATTCCTATCACATTGCTTCATCAAAGAAGAAGTTAATTTTTAAAAGAACCTAATATTACCTAACGCATATGCTGTATTTTTAATGCCTTTATTTCAATAAAAAGTGCATCCTGGAACTTCTTTGGTTTTCTTAACACCTCAGAAACAGCAAGTTGTATGTATATTTTTTTAAACACACTAAATATAATTCTTTCCTGGTTACTGATGGAGGTTTTACTGTGCATTACTGCACCCTCTTCCCTCGTATTCCGAGACTGTGAATGTCCCCTTGGCACAAACAACACTATTTCACACCCATGGAATGGACCATTACTATCTTAACTCGCTGTGGTAACTCCTTCATGCAACAGGCACTTGCACACAGCATTTTTAAGCTGCCTCCTAGCAATAAAATTGAGCATCTGATTTTCTCAATTACTTTTGCCAAGGCAGAAAATACCCAAAACAGACAGGGAAGGAAAAAAAAGAGCAAAAACCATTGGTACTTTTCTCCCCACTTCCACTTATTCTCTTCTGATCCTAAGGACCACATGCCATTTCATTACTTAAAGCCAAACAAAATATGAAGAGACTCTCCAAAATTCCACACTGATAGTTGCAATATGTTTTTACAGCTACATTAGCTAACTAGGATAGGAGTTTTCGTGGCTTGTAGTAAAGAAAAAACAAAGGTATGCACGTGTGAGGAGAAAAATTATTTAAATTGAAGAAAAATTCTCCTGGGTAATGTTCTCTATTACCTATGTCAATCTCTTTAACTCAATTTTTTCCTACCAATATTTTAGTTTTTCTGCCACAAATAATTAAAAAACAGAGAATAGCTATGCTGAAACATTGCATTCCT